ACTCAACCCACCATAAGAACAGAGTTGGCCTCCAATACTATCTAACTTAATTCACAGACTCAATGTCACACCAAACTACCAAAGTGTTATTTTACAGAATGTAAAAAATAACCAAATTCATCTAGAGAAACAAAAGGGTAAAAATCTCAAGGGAAATAATGAAAGGGTGGAAAAAGAAGGGAATCTAGCAGCACCAGGTGACCTCAAACTATATTAAGCAGTGAAAGTCCTAAGAATTATTTGTTACTGTTTAAAAACTCAAAAAGTTGATCAATGGAACAGATAAAGTACTGTATATAACAGCCAGAAGCAATTGAATATAGTAGCACAGTGATCAACAAATCCAAGGACTCCAACTACTAGGATAAAGATTCAGTATACAGAAGAAAAAAAAATTACAGGAAAAACTGGAAAGCAGTCTGGCACAAATGACCAACACATCACCATATAACACAATAAGCTGCAAATGAATACATGAGCTAGTTATAAGAGATCACATCATAAATTAAATGACAAGGAAAGGAGATACCTTTCACAACTATGGATAAAAGAAAAGTTCTTGATCAAACAAGGGCTAAAAGGATCACAAGGAGATAAAATTGACCATCTCAATGACATAAAACTGAAAAGTTTTTACACAAACAAAATCAATGCAGTTAGAATAAGAAAGCAAATGGTTCAATAGGGAGAAAAAAATCTTTGTAGCAAATTTCTCTGTGTGGCATACAAAATATACAGACAATTGACAGAAATATAATAGAAAAAGAATCATTTCCCAATATATAAATGACAAAAGGATACAAATAGGCAAGGAAAGAAAGGCAAGCTATCAACAGCCATATGGAAAAAATGCTTCAATTCATTAATAATTAGAGAAAGGCAAACTTAAATAATATATAAATTATATAAATACATAAATAAAAATAAGATTCTACCTCACATTCATGTGATCGGCAAAGGTGACAAAAAAGGGAAATGGCAGTTGTTGGAGGGGTTGTGGAATGTGTTGAGGGACATGTAAAATGATCCAGCCATTCTGTAAGACAATCCAGAAGCATACCCAAAAACTCACTTTTTGACCCCATGTTACCACTACTAGACCTAAAACCCAAAGAATCAAAGAGAAAGGGAAGGAATCCTCATGATAAAAATATTCACAGCATCACTTTTTCTTGTAGCAAAGAACTGGAAACAAAGTAGGGGTCCATAAGGTGGGAAATAGCTAAACAAATCCCTTTGCTGTGAATGCAAGGGAATATTTTTGCAATATAATAACAAAAGTGATATATTCCTAGAAACCTGGGAGAATCTGTGTGAACTAATGCAGAGTGAAGTAAACAGAATCAAGGAAACAAGTTATACAGTAACAACAACATTGTAAAGAAATACTTCAGAGTACTTAAGTTGTGGCCAACCACAACTACAGAAGACTGATGATGATGGCAGAGAGATGACAGGTTAGAAGTATAGAATTAAATAAATATTTTCATATTCAGTCAATGTGTGGATTTGTTGTGCTTATCTGTAGATATTTGTTACAGACTTTTTTTTTTTTACTGGAGGGGGATGACTTAATAGTGTAGCTAGGTAGGTGGTACATCGGATAGAGTGCTGGGCCTGGAATCAGGAAAACTCATCTTCCTGAATTCAAATTCAGCCTCAGACGCTTACTAGCCATGTGACCCTGGGCAAATCACTTAACTGTTTGCCTCAGTTTCCTACATCTGCAAAATGAGCTAGAGAAGGAAATGGCAAACCACTCTAGTATTTGTCAAGAAAACACCAAATGGGGTTCATGAAGAGTCGGACACTACTGAAACAAATGAACAACAACAATGGATGACTTATTGGTTTAGAGAGGTAGTCATAATGAATAAAAACAAATTAAAATATAATTACATAAATTATATATACATAAAATTTATATATAAAAGAAATTAATGAAATTTTAAAAAATGAATAGAAAAGAACAGAAGTTCAAAAGGGATCATAGACAAGCAGGACAATCAATATTGGTATTACCAAAATTATACACTTTTTTTGAAGCTGTTATGTCATAGAGATCATGGTTTCACATACAATCTTCTTTCCTTATTCTAAAACTTTTCAACTAACATCTAATAAAAGCACTAACTCTAATGCCTGCAAACAAAACTTGAGAAAAGGAGCTTCAGAGATGTTGGGGTACTTCTAAAAATGCAAAAGCTGATTAGAATTGCATCATCAGTATAATCAAAAGAACCAATTAGCATTTGTTCTTCCTACTGAATTGCTTCTCCTTCCCTGTGAAGGATATTCATTTTTAACATTCATTTTTTAAAACTTTGAATTCTTCTCTCCCTTCCTCCCTCCCCTCCCCACCCCCCATTGAGAAGGCAAGCAGTTTGATACAGGTTTTACATGTGTAGTCATGTAAAATATATCCATCATAGTCATGTTGTGAAAGAAAACGGACAAAAAAACCTCAAGAACAATAAAGAAAGTAAAAAAGAAAAGTATGCCTCTATCTGAATTCGGACACCATCAGTCTTTGTCTGAGGATGCATGGCATTTTTATCACAAGTCCTTCAGAGTGGTCTTGGATCGTTGTGTTGCTAGGAATAGCTAAGTCATTCATAGCCGATCACCCCACAATAATGCTGTTACTCTGTACACAGTACATTTCACTTTGCATCAGTACATGCAAGTCTTTCCAGGTTTTTCTAAGAGCATCCTGCTCATCATTTCTTATAGTGTAACAGTATTCTATCACAATCACCTACCAAGACTTGTCCAGCCATTCCACAATTGATGGGCATCCCCTCAACATCTAATTCTTTGCCCCAAGAAATGAACTGCTATAAATATTTTTGTACCCATAGGTCTCTTTTTGGTTTTTTAAAAATCTCTTTTGGGATACAGACTCAGCAGTGATATTGCTAGGTCAAAGGGTACGCATGGTTCTATAACCCTTTGAGCATAGATCCAAATTGCTCTATAGAATGGTTAAATCAGTTCACAAATCTACCTTCTATTAGCCAATCTAATAGGCATGAACTAGTACCTCAGAACTGTTTTAATTTGCATTTCTCTAGTCAATAGTGAGTTAGAGTATTATTTTTTTCATATGGCTACGGATAGCTTTGATTACTTCACCTGAAAATTGATCATATCTTTTGACCAAATGGTCAAAATATAAATATCAATAAATATACCAAATAAATTGATAAATATCAATTGGGGAATGGCTCTTATTTTTTATAAATTTGACTCAGTTCTCTATGTTTTACAAATGAGGCCTTTATCAGAGAAACTTGCTTCAAAATTTTTTCGGTTACTCTTTCTAACTGTAATTCCCTCCATCCTATCCACCCCTCCTCCCATTTATTCTACTCTCTCTCTCTCCTTTCACCCTGTCCCTCCTCAAAAATGTTTTACTTCTGACTACTCTTTTCCCCCAATCTGCCCTCCCTTCTATCACTGCCCCCTTCTCTTATCCCCTTCCCCTCCTACTTTCCTGTAGGGCAAGACAGATTTCTATACCAAATAAACGTGTATGTTATTCTATCTTCAAGCCATTTTGATTAGAGTAAGGTTCACTCACTCCGCCTGACTCTCCCCCTTTCCCCTCCACTATAAAAGCTTAAAGGTATTTGGAGGGGCTCTGAGGAGAGCTCAAACAAATCCCTGCCTTTACTCCACCACCTTGGCTCCACCTCCCTGTGGAGGATATTCGTATAAAAATAATGATGTTGATCATCGATATAGCTCTTCATCCATTTCAAGGTTCTTCCACATCCATGATCTCACTTGGGTCTCCAACCAGAGCCAGGACTAGGGGCAGCTGGGGAGAGGAGGTAGTATAGATGACTCCTCACTGCCCCTCACTGGTGAGGACTTTGTTCCATCACTGATTGAAATCTCACTATACAAAGTATAAAAGTCCTCACTGAGAATTTACATTTCCTTCATAAAGTGTGAAATTCCTGTGACAAGGTTAACTGTTCAACAAAGTATGAACTCCTCTTATCCAGGATATCACTAAATTAATCTCATCTTGAAGATGAGTTCACAGATTGCCTACTTGGCAACTTGCTGTCCTTGAAGTTAATATTTGTAACAGGCCCTTAGCCTGACTTAGTCTTTAAAAGGAAGGCAAGAGAGTAAGAACAAATCAAGCAGGGAAGAAAACCAGAGGAAGGTGGTAGGAAAGGCTCTCTAGTTGTCTAGCCAATAGCCCCTTCAGTGAAGCACATAGCCCCAGGCCAGGAGGGAACCAGGTGACCCACGAGATTGCAGCAGAGGCAGGGCTGCAGCACCAAGGAGTTTCTAGGCCAAACTGGGAGCTCCAGGAACACTAAATAGTAACATAATAATCTCTCACGAGAGATTTCTGATTCAGGTGATATCTATTAAATTTCATTTGGTGCAAGGTAGTGCCTTAAGAGCCAGATTTCTAACTCAGGCACAAGTATCTCAGATACACAGGAAAGGATCTCAGATATATTTATTCATGTCAGCCACCCAAATTCACCTGTCTGCTTAATCTAACCCCTGATCCTTCAGTGAGATCTTAGCAAGCAACCTGACATTCAAGGCCCTCAACAACAGCCTGGCCTTTACTTAGCTTTCTAACCTTACCTCCCATAGCTCCCCATGCTTGCCCTACAATCCAAAATTACAACAAAGAATTTTTGTATGACTTGATGGGTGGGGTTATCAGTATTACTGCTCTGAAAGGATAACAGAAATGACTCTAACATAAAGCGAGGCGTTTCTTTCCATTTCAAGCTTGCTCCATAACAAGAAAGGAGGGAAGATAAGGGAATGGGGACTCAACACTTGATAAACACTTGCCAAAGAAAAGGGCAAAAGTAAACGTTGTCTGCCTGAATTCTGGGGATCTGTCCAAAAGAAAATGTATCCTTGGAAATGTTGCATTACATAGTTTATCTGACAGTGGGACAGCCTGGCGTATGTAACCATGTAGTATGAACATGCGTCATGCCAAACAGACTTACCACATTCCAGAAAAGGGGATTGAAAATGATGCAGAGGACGGCAGCCACAAAGCTGAAATCTGTGACATCGATGTAGCCAAGAAGACGGGTCATAACGGAAAGTTCTGCCTGGAAGGAACAAAGTTCCATTAGTGGGGCAGCCTCACTGAGAAGGACATAAGCTCAAACCTCAGGACCCCAGGCTACGCAATGGGTGCTCTCCAGGCCATTACACTCAAAAGGATCCTTGCCTAAGCCTCTCAAATCCAATCAAACTCATTTCCTCACCAGATCGCAACATTTGCCATGTTCATTCTTACCTGGGCCTTTGCTTACACCATTAACCTGCCCTGAAATGGCCTCTCCCCTCCTCTCTACCTAAGTTTTACTAATGCTTCAGGGCCCTGCTCTACTGTTACCTCCTCCAATAAGCCTTCCCTGAATACCCTAGCCCCACCACCACCATCATCATCATCATCATCACCATCACCATCATCATCATCATCATGATAACAATAACATTCATACAGTACTTATGATGTGCTAGGCACTGTGCAAAGCACTTTACAATGATTATCTCATTTGATCCTCAAGATAATTCTGGATTAGAGGGGATATTATCCTCCCATTTTACAGACGAGGAAATTTAAGCAAAGAGAGATGAAGTGATTTGCTAGGGTCACAAAGCTAATAAGTTTCTGAGGCTGCATTTAAACTCAGGTCTTCCTAACTCCAGGCCCTATACTCTACTGCACCTCTTAGCTGTCTATAAGTTTATAACCTCTTTCTGAGCAAGGATAATGTCTTCACTTCAACAGCCACAATGTGCCCAGTGTCAAATCATATTAAAAAACTTCCTTTAACCAAGAGTGATGGCTCACACCTGTAATTCCTGCCACCAGGGAGGTTGAGGCTGGTAGCTGCTCAAGGTCAGTAGTTCTGAGTTGTAGCAGAACTAAGCAGATTCAGTGACCACAATAAAGTTCAGCACCAATATGGTAAGTCCCTGGGATTGGGTAGGCCACCAGGCTGCCTAAGGAGGTGAAAACCAACTCATGTTAGAAAAAGAAGAGAACAAAACTTCCACTAGATCAGGAGTGGGATCAGGCCTATGAGTGGTCTCAGTACTTGTGGCCTGATTGAAATAGGGAGACTCAAATCTAGAAAACCAAACCAAACCTTTTTAATTTCTCTAAAAATATTAAGAAATGACATTTCTCTGGTCTTTAAAAAAAAAAAAGCTCTTTCCAGACACACTTTCTAAAAGGTAGGGTAGATTGAGAACAAAAAGAGCTTTTATACAGAAATAAAGTAAGGATAGAAACTGAAGGTAAAAAAAAAGACCCCCTCACAATCTTTTTATCCCCAGAAACATCCACCCAAAGGAAATGTCCTTCATTTCTTTCAATGGAAAGTTCTGTCTTCTATTATTCAGAAGAGATTCTCTACAGTAGTCTCTTCGTAGATTCCAAGAGGGTGGTGTTTCAGGAAAGAATGGGATGGTGACTTTGTTACTCATCTATTCTAGAATGTTAACCAAGAAGTATTATTTTTTTATATATTGTGATTGTCTTCTTCATGATTACTATGTTACCTAAAACTGTCTAGGAGAAGAAAAACACATCATAAGGTAAGGAAGAATTATATTAGTTTGTATATCTCTCTCCCAAGCCAGAAATGGATTGGATATTAATGTTCAATTGAATGAAGTTATTTCTGGCAGACGTGTGCCTAAAATGCAAAGTAGGGTATTAATATTTTGTCTTTGACGCCAGGTACAAAGCATTCAATATACACTAGATGAATGGTGTAAAAAAAAATGATTGACAGTGACTACAACAATGAAAATAGATCAGAAAAAGAAAACTGAATACCATAATTATGATGACCAAACTCAGTCCTAGAGAAGAGCTGATTAAAGGCACCTCTCTGCCTCTTTACAGAAATGAGGAACAATAGGTATGGAATATTAATTGTATATACTGTCAGACCTGGCTAATGTGTTGGTTTTGTTAAGCTGCTTTTTTCTTTCTTTCAGTTTTAACCTGTGTTTACAAAGGATGGCTCACAAAGTATGGGAAGAGGAAAACAAAAGTGATGTAAAAAAAACCCTAAGATATCCATAAAAATAAGATTTTTTTAAAGAATGTGATTGAGTGAATGAAAATGTGGAATTCTATGAATGAATGCTAAACTCTTGTTCTCCCCCAGTACATAATAGACACTCAATAAATGTTTGTGGATTTGAATAAGGAAGGAAGGGAATGGAGGACTGAGTGCTTTCTAAGGACACAGTAGCTCAGCCTGGAATTACAGGAGCCCCTAAAAACATATCCATTTTGCAAATATTAAACTGCAAGTATCCAAGTATGGAACTTTGCCTTTCAATTTCTTCCTAATTTTTCCCAGGTTTCCACACCCCAAGAAAGACACATGAAAGAGATGCATGATCAGTATAATGACAGAAATGCCTTTCTCTTTTTCCAGGGCTCCATGGGCTAAAGTTCATTGCACTTTCAATTCTCACCCAAGGGGAAAACATAAAAAGGAACTATGGAGCTAACCATCTAAAAGCCATTCTGGGAATGTGCAGAATGACTGACTGCTGTAAATTCTTCAAACAAATGACGATTCATATATGGATGTGGGTAGCTAGATGTATACTACACTGTAGAAGGAAAAACTGGCTGAAAGATGGAGAGTTTGGGGTTTTATTCCCTATCTGCCAATGCGTATTCTGAAATAAGTCCCTTTACCACTCTGGGCCTTGGTTTCTTCTGGCTATAGAATGAAGGGAATGGATTCAGGGGTAGGGAACCTGTGGCCTCAAGGCCATGTGTAGCCCTTTAGGTGTTTAAGTTGCAGCCCTTAGACTGATTCCAAACTTCATAGAACAAATACCCTAAAGTTTGGATTCGGTCATAAGGCTAAACTAGAGGACCTAGAGGGCCACGTGTGTCCTCGAGGCTGCAGTCCCCATCCTGACTCTTAACTCCTTTCATCTCAAACAAAAGCAATCTTGGCTCATAGGCCAGGGAAAACAGAAAGGGCTGAGGCTCAGCTACTAGACTTTGGGAAAGATTTAGCCATTAGGTCAGGGGCTGTCTATTTCTCAAATGGCACCTTCTGGGATTCCAGAATTGGGCCTCTGCCAACCCCTAACAAATGGCACTTAGCTCAGGAGATTTGGTCTCTTTCAGATTTCTGTGTTGAGGCTTAAGTCTTAACAGCAGCCTAAACGCTGTGATTTGAGGTCTGACCTTATTTTTATGGGCTGTCATGCTAAGTTACAAAACATTTTACAATTGCTGGCAGATGATGGGAGGGCAGGAATGCCCAAAACTAAAGGGTAGGAGTTCACTTAGATTCCCAGACACTATCCCAAAGGACATGATGATGCAGAATTTCATCTATGTGTATGAAGATAAGAGAAGCGCCTCTGCCTTGGAGGCCACCTCAATTGCTAAGTTCTCCTTCTGGCCTTATATGTGGCCTCTGTTTTAGAATTGGTAGGAGAATGGGATAAGAAGGGGAGAACACTTTGAGCTTACTGGCTATGGAATTAAATCCAGACTTCATCCACCTACTTGCACTGACAGCCAGAACCAGAATTGGAAAAACCTCTTCTGTCCTTGTCCCATCAGTACTATGCTGTAGATAGCTAACCTACACTATTAACCACAACTCCTCATTAAATTCTTCTCCTTCACACCTCCAGTAGTCAATCAATCAATCAACAAACACTTATTAAGCAGCTACTAAGTACCAGTGCTAAATGCTGGAGAAACAAAGAAAGGTGAAAGAATCTCTGACCTTGGAATCTCACAATCTATTCAAGGAGACAACATACAAGTAACTATCTACCTATAACAAGCTATATGCAAGATAAATTGGAAATAATCAAAGTGAAGACATTAGAATTAAGAGGATCTGGGAAAGGTGTCCTGTGGAAGTTGGGATTTTAGCTAGAACTTGAAGGAAAGCAGGAGGGTGACATGAGAAAGGAAAGCATTCCAGGCATGGGGCACAACCAGAGAAAATGCCCAGAACCAAGAGTGTCTTGTTCGTGAAAGAGCAAGGAAGGTCAGTGTCACTAGATCAGAGAGGACGTGGAAGGGTGTAAGGGGCAGCTAGGTGGCTCAGTGGTACAGCACCAAGCCTGGAGTCAGGAAGACATCTTCCTGAATTCAAATCTGCCCTCAGACACTTTTAGCTTTGTGACTCTGGGCAAGTCACTTAACCCCGTTTGCCTCAGTTTCTTCATCTGTAAAAATGAGCTGGAGAAGGAAATAGCAAAGCACATCAATATCTTTTCCAAGAAGACTCCAAATGGGGTCACAAAGAGTCAAACATAACTGAAATGACTGAACAACAACAAAAAAGGTATAAAAATATTGGAAAGGGTGCAGGGTCTTTGAACCACAAAGAGAGGATTTTGTATTTGATCCAGAAGGTGAATAGGAGCCACTAAAGTTTATTGAGTAGGGATGGGGTGGTGGGTGGGGTCAGACCAGCACTGTAGGAAGAATATTTTGTTGGCTAAATGAAGGATGACTGGAATTAAGGACTGAAGCAGGCAGACTCACCAAAAGTCCAGGCATGAGCTGATTGAGGGCCTGCACCAAAGTGGTGGCAGCATCAGAGGAGAGAATACGGTATATGTTGAAAAGGTGAAATTGACAGGCCTTGGCAACAGCTTGGATGGGGGGGGTGAGGGAAAGGGTGAGATAGTGAAGAGTCAAAACCTAGGTTTTGAGCCTGGGAGAACTAGGAGGATGGCTATGCCCTCAAGAGTAACAAGAAGTGGGAATGTTTGAGGGTTTTGGACATGCTGGATTTAAGTTGTCTACTAAACATCCAATTCTAGATGTCCAAGAGGCAGTTGGAGATGTGAAATTAGTCAGCAGAGAGGGTAGGTCAGGAAGATTTGAGAATCACTAGCACAGAGATGGGAATTAAATCCATGGGAGCTGATGACATGGTCAGAGTTGCACAATGACAACACATGTTCACTGTGGCTGTAACCTTTATCTATCCTCTGAATCATCACACACACCCACACACACACACACACACACACACACACACACACACACACACACACACACACACACAGTCTGAGTGTTGAATGTACTTAACTGTATTCTAATTCTGTGAAGGGGCAGCTTGGTGGCACAGTGGATAGAGCACCAGGCCTGGAGTCAGGAAGACCTGAGTTCAAATTCAACACTAGCTGTGTATAAATCACTTAATACTGTTTGCCTCAGTTTCCTCATCTGTAAAATGAACTGGAGAAATGGCAAACCACTCCAGTATCTCTGCCAAGAAAACCCCAAAAGCAGTCACGAAGAGAGAGACAACTAAAAATGACTGAATAATAATTCTATGAAAATTGTTAATCCTTTAAGAGTTTTTATATGTAAGTTCTTTGTTAAACAGAAGTCTACACAAACAAGAACTGTCTATTAAGTAATTTATTAGCCTGTTCCTATATATTATTATATTATTAGCCCATTCCTATTTATTATTCCTATGTGTTCCTATATATTCCTATTAACTGGCCCTTTTGCTCATCTCTACCACCATGAAAACTAATAATTCCACTAATTAACCCTGTAGACTTGAAAACATCTTACAGAATCCTTTGAATCCTAAAAAAAATTAATTTTGTCCATGATTAATTATATTTTGTAGAATTGTAATTCCTATTAGCCAGAATCCTAAATTAGCCAAAATACCACCTTCTCTGGTGATGTCAAATATCCAAATTGGCTATAATTCAACATTCAGTTCATTCAAGTGGACTCAGACAGTCTTTGGGGAGCGTTTTTTATGGGCAGCCACTTTCCTTTACCCTAAGCCTACAAGGATTCATAAAACTCTTACCCCAGCCAAGGAGGAAAGAGGGAAAACAATGAAATACACATTACATTCTCATCCAGCTAGAGAAAAGGGTATAGATAGGGCAGAACTCAAAAGAACACAGAGGAGAAGTGAAAGAATCCAGATTATAGGGTTGGGAAGGAAGACCATCCTGGCATTGGGCTGGGCACCAGAAGTGATCCTATCCATAGGTCAACAGAGGTATGATAGGAGAGCTCCTGGAAAAGGTCCCAGGTTCAGAAAAGTCATTCCACCTATCTAGATGACAGTTCCACCCTCAGAAAGTCATTTATACTTCAGTGTTAAGCACTCTAGTCCCTCTTTAAAAATACAATTTGGGGGGGGCAGCTAGGTGGCACAGCGGGTAGAGCTCCAGCCTTTGAGGCAGGAGGACCTGAGTTCAAATTTGACCTCAGACACTTGACATTTACTAGCTGTGTGACCTTGGGTAAGTCACTTAACCCAAATTGCCTCACCAAAAAAAAATTAATTTTTAAAAAATACAATTTAGGTTCTTTTTGTCCATGATTAGAATAGCCTAGAAGAAACAAGAACAAAGGCTGACATTTTCATATAGCACTTTAGATGTTCTAAGTATAAAATTCATATCCACATATGATCTTCGATCCTAGAAACCACCCTTCAATGTAGGTAGTGAAGGTATTTTTTTTTTGTTGCATTTTAAATTCCAAACTGTCTCCCTCCATCCCTCTCTACCTTGAACAGGGAAGGCACATGCATACACACATACATAAACACATAAACAAACACACACACACACACACACACACACACACATACACACAACCATACTATGCATACTTCTATCAGTTCTTTCCCTGGAGGTGAATAGAATCTTCATGAAGATATTATCCCCATTTTGCAGATTAGGACACTGAGATTAAGTGACCTGTGTAAAATCCACTTCACTAGGAAACTGCCACATACCAGCTTTGAGACTCAAATTCAGGGCTCCTAACTCCAAATTCAATAGCCTTCCCAGTACAACACAACCGAATCATTCCCCTCCGGACTACGCTGCTGATTCATATCTACAGGATTTTCTCTACCTTGCCATAGAAACCTCTTCACCCTGGAAGCTCACTCTCAGCCCCTGTCTCCTCTCTCTCTGATTGGCTGGTTCCTTCAAGAGGCTCCATTTTAAAGAGGATGTCCAGGTCAATTATGTCTTCATTCTTCTCCAGGCTATATTCCAGATTCTGGACTTCATCATGCCTTATACCAGGAACCTTCATCTCTGCCCTACTCCTTTTCAGCTTTCTTTTTTGTGTTGTCTGACCACCCCCTCCCTCATATAAGCTTACTGAGGGCAGGAACTGTCTTTCTTTCTTTCTGTTTTGTATTCCCAGTGCCTAGAATATAGTATGCACTTAATAAATGCTTGTTGATAAG